CCTACGGGCACTGCACTAGTTGAAAAAAATAACAATACTGATAATCTGAAAAAAGCTGAGTATTGGAACCGATAATCAATCTATCCCTAATGCATTATGAGTAGTTCCTTTCAGCGTCTGTGGACTAAAGGGTGCAGAAAGGACTCTTCTGCTATAGAGCCCTCAAACACTTGCATGAATTCACAGTGGGACATCTCTGAGCCCATTTCTGTTGGTAATGTTTTGCTGTGGGTGCCACAGGGTGTCCCATCTAACTTGGAGAGTTTTGAGCTGTATTCTGGGCCTTCTACCTTCACAAATAAAGCAAGATATCAAGTGATCCAACGTAGAGAATATTGGCTTAGGTGTTGGAATAGGGAGCATTGGAAATAACTTGACTAATCTTAGGAGGACATTTGACTGGACAAGAGCAGATATAACCATCAGGTTAAATAGTCTTTAATAGTTTTGTCATAATTCGTATTGTATAATTTAAATAATTGTTTTTCCAATTAATTAATCAGTCACACATTTCTGCAAGGACATAACTATGATCTTATTTTTCACTTAGCGCTTGGTCCAGCACCTAAGGGATCTGGCAGGTCGAATGTCTTCATCTGGTGGCAGAGGGGCAGGATTAGGACTGAAGCTGCTGCTCGGAGCTGGTGCTTTGGCATATGGCATTAAAGAAGCCACCTACACAGGTAAACACACATTTGTACGAGGCTATCCGTGTGATGCAGCCAGATGGTTCATGCACCTACATGGCCCATGCAGTCTTTTTGTATGCAGTATAAATGTGTTATTTTTACCTAGTGTGATTGAATATTCGCGCTTACTAGGTTCCATTAACAGTGTTAAATTTAACTGGCTATGACTAGAAAGCTGAGACTTTTCTGGAGTGAACATGTCCAATTTTATTGATGTTTGATGATGTTCGTCCCAATAGTAGTATTTCATTGCAGTGAGACTTTTATAGACTTGATTTTTAATTAATTTTTAATTAATTTTTAGAGACTTGACCTCACTGTATACAATTTGCTATTGTGACCTCTAGGATTATCACTAGTGTACATAGATTTTAATACAGAGTGTTACATAGCTTTAATTGTGTTGAGCTGTTTGAACCTAGACACCTTTTCAATTGGAAATCACCACAATCATTATTACTGGATCAGACTGTGTAGTGTTAACATATTGACTATACATATGAAAATGGAAGCTCTGCTCTTTATTTACCTGTTGCCAGGGTCAATCATGATATCAGAGCTCCATTGATAGGGTTCAAAATTAACTTTTGGCCAATGGCAGGAAATCTGTGAAAATGTACCCACCAAAATTTTTTACCAGCCATAAAACTGCATCATGGTTTTGAGCTTTTCTTTTCATCTTCATGTTTTGTTTTTGGTGACTTCACACCAGGGATTTGTCGCCAACACAACGCAGATGTTTTTACAGACAGACATTATGTATACAGCGCAAATAGTAATGAGCTGCTTTGATTTGATGCTGACGTTGTGGGAGGTACTGTGGACAGACAAGGTCACTTCTCACGTCTCAGCTGGTACACATAAAACACACCGCAATATAAATCTGGCCCTTTGCTGTGATTCTAAATTATTTACCAGCCAAGTGCACCTAACGATATTTGCAAGGAGCTACTACATGTGAAACAACAACAGCGCTTAGAACAAAACGTGTGAACACATCCCGGCCCCACATGGAGCTACAGGCTCTTTGTTTTCGTATCGATCAAGGCAAAATTACAAATAGCAGGGAATAACTTTTGGAGAGGGACAGTGATGGGTGGTTGTGTGTAGTGTAACGTTGGCTACTGGCCCAAAAAGCCACTGTCGGCTTTTGCTGGCACAAAGATTTTCCTTTTTGTTATTAGAGGTTGGTGTGACAGTCCAATAATGCTGTGCTCCAATCTCGGAGAAGTCTTTGCTGTTTTTTTCCCCTAACCGCTGAATCAGGATGTCCGGACATTCCTTTCATACGGCTGTTAAAAGCCTCACTCTCCCCAGCTGCCCCTGCTGCCTGGGGCACTCTATACTTGGCCGCGGAGCGCTGAAGGCCTTTGAGAAGACGAGTCTTGGCATCTCCACTAATTCCATTACTAGTGCTGCTCCTGATTCCACCTTTACAAGCTCCCTCACAGAAAGAAATCCCACATGCAACCTAACTTCCTCATACTCAGCAGTGACAAATAGTCATCATCGGCCCTAAATCCTTCATCAAATTCGGCGACAATTCTCCCTCTGCACTGACGGCTCCACTGGTCGTCCTTCCAAACACATCTGCAACCTCTGTCGTCTTTGATCAATCCCTGTCCTTTGAACACCACATTGTTCACATTACAAACCTCCAGCACCAGCAGACTCCAACTCCTACATGCAACCTCCTCACTCTTCTCACCTCATCCAACAACCAGATTGCTGCTGCCTCTCTCTGGAACTCCTGCAATACTACAGACATTCTCCCACATTTCCGTCTTTCAGAACCCACCTACTTAAAACTGCTTAATCTGTTATCCCCTCCCTCTCCTTTTTTCATTGCTGCACTTAAAAAAAATAAAATTATTTTCATGTCTGTTTGTTGTCTTTTTATTATCATGTAAAGTGCCTTTAAGTACCATTTTGCTACAACAAGGTAGCACATTTTAAGTCATGGAGGTCTGAGTTAAAACCTTTTGTTGTGTTTGTGTGAGCAGTGGAGGGTGGTCACAGAGCCATCGTCTTCAACAGGATTGGAGGGATGCAGATGGACACTATTCTGGCTGAGGGGCTGCATTTCAGGTAGGATCAGCAGATTTATTAACTGACTTGTTCCAGGATCTACAGTTGTTTGCAAAAGTTTGGGCACCCCTTAACAAATAATATATTTTGGTGACTTTTTAATTGAAAAGATGTAAACACAGCCTCTCTAGGATATGGAACTTAAAACACAATATTTAATAATGTTATTAATAATAATAATAATAATAATAATAATACAATATTATAAGCAGACATTAATACACAATTAATGCATTAATGTTACATTTTATTAAAAATAAAAACATCCTTGTGACGTGCAAAGGTTTGGGCAGCTTATATTTGTCAGTACTCAGTAACCAACCCTCTGGCGGTCAGACCGCTTGCAAACACTTTGTTGCCAGTTTTTCAATTCAATTTAAGTCTTCTTTCTTCATTGGAAGTAGTGCAATATTCTTGAGTATGTACAATATGTACAGTCACAAATAGCACAACTTTTAATCAGCAATGTTTTTTGACTGTACTTACCAATTTTGAAGTTGATCCGATAAATTCCCTAGGAGGAGTTTGTTTAAATACAAGGTAAAAGATTCGCCGAAAATAACCACAGAATTCAAAATGGTCGACTTTGACGGAAAGCCACGGACACGCCCTTCAACATACAAAAAAAACAACAATTTTGAATCAGCAATGTTTTTTGACTGTACTGACCAATTTTGAAATTGATCCGATATATTCCCTAGGAGGAGTTCGTTCAAATACAGCGCGAAAAAATTTACACGGAATTCAAAATGGCTGACTTCCTGTTGGGTTTGGGTTATGGGTCCAAGAGGCTTTTTTGCTTGTCCCATCATGATACACATGCGTACCAATTTT